TCAAGTCAGTTCCGACTCATAGCGACCCTGTATTGGGTTTCCAAGGAGCAGCTGGTGAGCTTGAACCACCAACCTTGTGGTTCAAAGCAACTTTGCAGTCCAGCACATTAACCCACAGCACTACACATAGTCATTTATATTTCAATTTCTGCCTAGTTTAACGTGCATGTTTTCAATAATGATAGATGATGTATAAGGGGCTTCAAAAATGTTGTGGAAAATTTCCATGATCTTAACTCCATTTCCCATGAACTTTCTGAAGCCCCCTCATCCATATGATGTATTAATCTAGATCAGGATGTGCTATTATTTGCTACATAGTACCATCCAAAAGGAGCCCTGGTTGTATAGTGGTTAAATGCTTGACTGGTAACCGAAAGACTGACAACTCAAACTTACCAGCTGCCCCATGGGAAAAAATGTAGCAAGAAAACTTTCTAAGGATTTACAGCCTTAGGCAATTCTACTCTCTTCTGTAGGGTTGCTGTGAGTCAGAATTCACTTGACAACAATAAGTATCATCTAAAGAACTGTGGTGGCGCAATGTTCAAGTGCTTGGCTGCCCACCCTGCAGCTCCGTGGGAGAAAGACCTGGTGATTGCAGCCTAGAAAACCCCGTGGGGCAGTTCTCTATCACATGGGGTTGCTGTGAGTTGAAATCAGCTGAGTCAACCTGGCAACGGCAACCATCCTCAACGATGCACGATGTATTTTTTGCAATCTAAGTTTATCGCTGCCAATTACTCAGAAAAGACTTCTGTTTGTAAAAATTATGACCAGGTGTTTTCCCTTGTGCGGTATATTCTGGCTATGTTGGAAAAAGTCCTTAATTTCTCCTGGATTCACTGTGCCTCAGTTCCATCTGGGCTCATAACAAGTTCTGAAGCGGACAGTGCTTTTGTAAAATGAGCTGCCGTTCTTCTCTAGCTGAATTGTTGATTATGTTATACTACTTCCACCTTACTTTTTTTGAGTGTGTGACCTTAACAACATGATGTAATTTAGTAGCTCTGGTAGCGTAGTGGCTACGTATCGGGCTGCGAACCTTAAGGTCAGCGGTTTGAAACTACCAGCTGCTCCGTGGGAGAAAGATGAGGCTTTCTACTCCCGTAAAGATTTACACCCTCGGAAACCCTGTACTGGGTTGCTATGGGTCGGAACCGACTCGACGGTACTTAACAACAACAACTTCCACCTTACTTTTTTTGAGTGTGTGACCTTAACAACATGATGTAATTTAGTGTCATTAATTGACACATATTCCACTATGTGTTTGATCATTTTTATTTCATACATATTCCAATAGCAGTTCCTAATGTAGCTTGATTGTGCACTCAATAATTGTATCGGTTAGAGGCTTACTTGAGATATACAAATAATGCGTAAGTGTATCCATTAGATGTATAGACAGCATAAAGATGGACACTATGGAAAAGAAAACTGTATAGTAAAGTCATTTTTAAAATAATCATTTTTATAATTATTTTACTTCTGTTTCTAATTCTAATTCTGTTATGAAAACTCATTATTAGACACACTGATCAAGCGCTGTTGACGTTAGTTATTACAGAGTCTGCTCTGACCCATGCTAACTTTAGGTCTTATCAGAAGAAAACTTTGCCCAATCCCATACCATCTCCATTGTCTCTGATTTATCCCTATGTAAAAACTGATAGACGTGTGGTCTAGCTTGTTGGTGGTGACAGTGGCTGTCAAGACGATTTCAGTAAACCTGCCCCGTGGTATTTTTAGGGCTGTCACTTCTCAGAACCAGCTCTCTAGGCATCTTCTCAAGTATCTCTTGCTGGTTTGAGCAATAAGCCTTTTTACTCATAGTCAAGCATTTAGCCATATGTCCACCCTGAGATTCCTCTGTATTAGCTGAGAAGTATCAACATACAACCTGAAAGCACTTGTGAAGTTTAAATCATATCTAGGTACGGTTGTGGAATAGTAGCTTCATAAAAAGTTGGACTTCAACAACAGCACTGAGAGCCACAGAAGATGTATTTGAGAGTTGGTGATAGGTAGCCAGCTGTAGAATATAAAAGCAGCGTTTGTGGACGAAAATTAAAGAGATACAACATAAAAGAGAAGACATCGATTCTATTTTCTAGTCCTTACTCTTATTCTAGTTCTTATTCTCCATCAAATTATGGAGTCTTTCTCCATCTGCCTCCAAAGTTATTTTGTGGATTTTTAGATTCTGAGTTACTTTCTGGCAGAGGTTAGATCTTCCTTAACTTTAGATTCCCAGCGTTTAAACTTGTATGTATGTGAAAATGCTTTGCAAGTACTCTACAAATACAAATATTAAGCCACTTATTTATGTCTAATCTTGCACTGGAGTCCTGGTGTGGTGCTGTAAGATAAACACTGGACTGCTAACTGTAAGGTCGGTGGTTCAAATCTACCAGCAGCTCCTTGAAAACCCTATACAGGGTTGCTGTGAGTCAGAACAAACTCAACAGCGCTTAACAACAACAATAAACTTTCATTGGTTCTTAGTAGGCAATCATGGTTTTAAAAAGTAGCAAAAGAAAATCTCAACTCCCTCATAGTTTTATTTGTTGTTTTGTTCTGCTTGCTTTAAGTCAAAAGTTCAATGTAAGACCCCCTCACGGCACAGTGCTCTGCATATAAAGCTCTCAGTGTAACAACAGGGACCGTGGGCAAGTTGCATTATTGTATTATATAACGTCAGTTGAGTTGCATTATATCTCATTTTGGAGGGATTAAATGAATTTCCCCCCCTCCACACACACACACAAAATAATATTATAAGTGGTGATTGTGTTCCTACTCCATCTCACAAATTTCTATTAAACTCATATACCTTAAATTTATAGTGGTAAAGTGATATTATAATCATAGTTAGATGCTGTCAAGTTGGTTCCAATTTAGCAGCCCTATGTACAACAGAACCATGCTGTTTTTACTGTTGTGTAGAGTTTCTGAGGATGTATTTTGCCAGCATAGAGAGTCTTATCTTTCTCCCGTGGAGTAGCTAGTGGGCTTGAACAGCTGACCTATGGTTCACAGTCCACTGCTTATCCATTAAATTTCAAATAACTGTATGTATGGGGGAAATCACTACATATTGCACGTATAGGTTCCCAAGGCTTTTGTCACCAATCATTTCTTCCTTTCTGCTGCTCACCAGAAGTGACATCAAAGAAGTAGAGGCGTGTAGGATCAGTTTGTATAGGTTCCAGGTATTTGCTTACTCTTTAAGGATGTAATACAAGAAAACAATGAACTAGATTGAGAGATCCAAATTGGAAGGCAGAAGTTATTTGTCCAGTAATATCATAGTTTACTTCTCCAAATTCAGATTTCCTGCTGCCCATTCAGAAGAATCACTGCATTTGTCACGAGCATCCATATTACTTAGCAATAAGTAATAATGCTTTAGATGCTGGCCTTCACAGAAATTTGTAATTTAGAGAAATTTGGGCCCTTCAGGGATTTGACTGATTACAGGTCAGGTGTAGAAAAAGTGTAAGTTGAAGTGAGACATTGTGCCAAAAGCAAGAAGCTGATTTATCAAAGGCTTTGAGGTCATATCTAAAGGATTCAGGAGCCAATTTGAAGGGGCCACCACTAGCCAAAGATAGAACTATTTTTTAAAACATTTTATTTTGAAAAATTTCAAATACATGTAAATGTCAAAGAGAAACAAGAATTTTGAGATCGCCTTTATTCACCTTCAACAGTTATCAGCTCATAATTAATCTTACTTTAGTGCCACCCTTACCCATACTTACCCCCACCATTGGATTATTTTAAATACCCAACAGCATGTCATTTTTTCTATAAGTATTTTGCAATATGCTTTTAAAAGATAAGAGCTATTTAAAATTTTATATATATATGTTGTTAGGTGCTATAGAGTTGGCACCAACTAATAGCGACCTTATGCACAGAAGATTGAAACACTGCCCGATCCTGGGCCAACTTCACTACTGTTGCCACACTTGAGTCCATCCATGCTGCCATCTGGCCAATCCATCTCGTTGGGGGTCTTCCTCTTTTTCTCTGATCCTCCACCTTACCAAACGTTATATCCTTCTCCAGTGACTGGTCTCTCCTGACAATATGTCCGAAGTATAAGAGACACAAAGTTTGGCCATCTTGGCCTCCAAGGAGCACTCTGGCTACACTTCTTCCAAAATGGATCTATCGGTTCTTTTGGCAGCCCATGGCACTTTCAGTATTTTCCTCCAATACTGTAACTCAAAAGCATCAAATGTCTTCCTTATTCACTGTACAGTTTTCACATGCATATGAGGTTAATGACAATACCATGACTTTGGTCAGGTGCACCTTAGCCCTCAAGCTGACACTTTAAAAAGGTCTTGTGCAGCAGATTTGCCTAATGCAATTATGTCATTTGATTTCTTGACTGCTGCTTTCTTGAATGTTGGTAGTTGATCCAAGAAGAATGAAATAGCCATGATATAATTCAAAAGTGGGAGAGTTTGAACATCAGTAAGAAGAACTGTGATGGGTTGAAACATATCAACTATATAAAAATCATGATAGCTAAAATAAAACAAAGCCAAAAAACCTCCTAGCTATCCATTCGAAATTCTTAAAGTAAAATTCTTGAGGTTGAGGAGAATGTGGATGAGTGATAAAAGAAATAAGATTGGCAAATAACATTGTTGACACCGGGGCAAGTGGATATATGATATGATTATAATTGAAGTATTCCTAAATCAGGGAATGATTAAGACTTGTGTAGCTGAATATGTCTATTAAATACAGTGATTTATTTTTTATTAGTTTGAAGAGCTAGTAAATGTTGAGATAAAGATTAAATGACTTCTCCTCTCCTTTTAGCCCCAGTTTTAAAAGTTAATGCATGGTACTCAAATATCCTGAATGCACATTACTTTTTAAAGTGTTCCTTATAAAAGAGTTTCTTTAAAATTTACTGAACACTTTTTCATGAAACAGACCATTTGTGATAATTAACTGTCCATTCTGACTTCTAGGCCCGATATAAAAGGCCTCTGAAGAGCCTTGATAGTGCCCTGTATGATGACGATGATGAGGACGTCGAAAGAGCAAGCAAGTAAGTGATGGGTTTTGCCAGTCTGTTAAGTGGTGTGAAGTGATAGCAGAAGTCTTAGGTAACAACTGACATTTCAACGACTGTGCACTTCCAGAGTAAATAAAGGTATCCTCACAATGTTCTTCAATAAAAGGAGCTAATGTCTAGTGTGTTTTTGAGTGTTGTGAGGGATACATCTTGGGACAGGGAAAACAAAATAGGCACATGGGATGTTGTGTTGCTCTTGGAAAGCAATAATGCTTATGGGAGTATCTAGAATTATATTAAAGGAGAGAAAGAAATCTAACTAAGTTAGTCTGCCCTGCTCCTGCAGAAGAAGGGCAGATTAACTATTAGGGATAATGGTTAATTGGACCAAATGGAATGGAAGTATCAAAAGAGCAAATTTAATACAAAGTATTCAAAAAATGTTATTTTAATATAAAATAAGAGTAAAAATAATAATAGTATATTTTATATCATAACTTATAGTGTTAAGATACATGAGGATGGCAAAATAGGCATCCATTCTTCATTAAACAGTTAGAAAATTCTGTGTGTATAAAACAACATACATTCTTCTCTAAAATAAATGAAGAAATTAATGAAAGGAAAAACCATATAAAAATATTAAAAGTGAAACTGAGGTTATATGAAACTACAAATGTTAAATCTAGTATTTCTAGGGCAAAGGCCCTAAATCTCACATATTTGAATTATGTAAAAAAGCTTGGCTTTTGCTTCCCTACGCTTTTTGTTTGTTCCTAATGGATGTTCTCAAAACTTCTAGTGTTTAAATTCACCATAAAGGATTTGGCCATGAACCAAGTATTAATTCAGTTGTGAAATATCACTCTCGTTTCAAAACGGCCTCATTAGAACTGATGGTATTTGGGGCGAGGCTGCTCACATGTAACATATATAATTCTACAGCTACCTTTGCATACTTTGTTTTTCTTCAGATTATCTTCTGAAGATGGTGAAGAAACGTCTACTTATTTTTATGAAAGTGACGACTCTATTGAAACAAGAGCAAAGACTCCTTACTCAGCTGAAATGGACTTACTAGGAGAGATTCTTGATACACTGAGCACACACAGCTCAGATCAAGGAAAGCTCGCAGCTGCAAGGAGCTTGGATTTCTTTAGATCAATGGACGATATTGATTACAAACCTACGGTTAGTTGGTTTTTCAACTTATAAAATTAAATGAAAACATCCTTGCCTTTCTTGTGATCGCCTGATCTTATAGCTTTAGTTATAAGGAAATATTTAACCTCTAATAAGTAAATGTCAACACTTCAAAAACATGATAAAATTTAATCGCTAAGAATTATTTCTGGTAACAAAACTCCAATATTGTCTCTTTCATGTATCCAATTCTGGTGGTTATTATCATTAATTGAAATTCTTCTGTCAAGCCATATTTCCTTGCAATCCAATTTTATAGCTGTCTTCTTTGGGAAATTTTTAAAAAACAAATTTTCCACTTTTTTTTCTTTCTTAAGTCTCCTTAAAATATCTTAATAAATGTGTTCAGTCAAAATAATTTTCCATTTATTTCTTCAAAAGTGAACAATGAAATGCTTTGTAAACACGAGGGATGATGATAATGTCAGAGTATGGGTATCCCTGTGACTCTAGCACTTGGCATTGATTATATAACAATAACTGAGTTCGACTTTTCTCAGTGAGATTTGTAAAGAGCTGGAAATTGAAGTTCATCCCATTTCCTTGCTGTTAATAGAGTCTCTGGGAGATGTCCGTGTCCTAGTCCCTTGTCTTGAAGGACATTAACTTTGATTTCAAAACGGAAAAGGGAAATAATCACTCAAGAAATGTTATTTGATTTTAAAACTCGGAACTTGTTGCTCATTCTCTTTCAGAACAAATCCAATGCTCCGAGTGAGAACAATCTGGCCATACTTTGTGGTGGTTCTGGTGACCAGGTGGAGTGGAATCTCGGTCAGGATGACAGTGTCCTCCATGGCAAACATCTTCCTCCTTCTCCCAGGAAGCGGGTTTCCTCTAGTGGTATCACAGACGCACTGTTTATCCTGAAAGAGGAAAACAGTGAAAAACCTGTCAGTGCCGACAGTGTGAATAACGGCCCTGTAGTGGTGGAAAAGTCACCTTCAGCTTCAGGACTGCATTTCCAGATAGCATCTCCTACAGTTTCCCAGGCTGACCAAGGAAAAATAGAAAAAAAGAAAGAAACACTAAGTGAGAGTTCAGACGATCTGTTTATACCCAGCCTGAAGCGAATCCCATCTACGTCTGTTCCTTGGGAAAAAGAAGGAAAGGAAACCCAAGAGACTCCAGAAGACATTGGACTGCTTCGTGAAGTAGTGTCATTATGTCACATGACATCTGCCTTCCAACAAGGTTTAAACATTTCAGAGGAAAAGAGAAGTGGAAACCAAGTCTAAACCAGCCTCTTGTATGTGTGCTTCTTTGGAGACGTTTGAGGATTCCATGTAATAAACAGAAGTATTTGCAGTAATGACAACTCTTACTGCTATTTAAGACTTATTTTTCATTTGGAGCAAACATTTCTATTCATTGACGTCATGGATATCTGTGATCCATCTATTTTTAAATGTAGAGCTAGGTCTTCTACAATGCTCTTAAAAATCAGGTACTAGTTTGTATGTATATTCAAAGTATGTACTGAACAGATGACTTTCCAGTATTTGGTGCTTAATGCTATTCATTTTATTTAAACCGAGTATGCATATAACCCTTGCATATAGTCAGTAGCTACTGTACTAATCTGGTTGAGCATGAACTGATCAAGATATCAAAGCTAGCCTGGAACTGTTGACCCACTAATTGCCTTAATCTTAAGCCTGTAGTAATTAAGTAAACTTAAATAATTTATGGAATTACATGTAAGTTTTTGAAGGGTAAGTTATTAGTGTTCTGCAGAGCAATAATGACTTTTTCTACGTTAGAATCAAGGTCAAAATTCATCTTTTCAAAGTTAAAAACTGTCTTGTGGAAATAGTTTATTTATAGAAGGACATTACAGCCACGTTTTCAAAAAAATTATAAAGGTACACACTTAACCTTTCACTCAGTGAACTATATGAAGTGCTGAATTATAATGTGAAGTTGATGATTGTGTTTACAAATGAGATACTTTAGACTTCTTTTCCATCTCACTGTATGCCTTCATTAACTAGATCTACCCCCCAAAAGCCAAAGGCAACATACACTGTCATGATAAAAAAAAAGTCATGTCTGTTTTTCTTAACGTGTAGTTCTCTATTACAAAACTTCATATCATCATCTCCAATTCACTTTAAAAAATGGTTTACTTTATCTTCTTAGAAATTAAGAAAACTAAAAAGATAGTACAGTAAGTTCCTTTATGACACACCCCTGCTCACACAGTTTCCCCTTTTATTAACATTGTTAGGGTGGTGAATTTTTCAAAATTAATGAGCCAATTCTTTGTACACCTTCACTCAACTCAATAAAAAGTTTTGAAAAATTCATGACCCAATCTTAATATACCAACAAAAGAGCCCACTTTGTTCAAATTTTTCTAGTTTTACCTAATGTCCTTTTCTGTTCTCAAGTCCCTTCCATGATACCACATTACATGTAGTGCTCATTCTTCTTAGACTCCTCAAAGGGTACTGGTGGCACAGTGGGTTAAATGTTGAGCAGCTTACCTCTAGGTCAGTGGTTCAAACCCACTCTTTTGACCCCTTCCTATACTGCACTCATTGCAATGAAGTCACTAGGTACAGTCCATAAGTCCACACTTAAGAGGTAGGGAGGTATGTTTTGTGACAGTGTTCACACAAATTATTTGTAATTCCTCAGCACAGACTTGTCTCTTGTCCCTCAAATTCATATTTAAGCTTTGAAATTCATCTGAAAAGGAGTCCTGCAGTGATTGCTTCATGATAAATCAAATGAAATCAGTTGCTGTGCTTAATGATAGGCTAATGATTGACAAATATAATTAGGAGGGAAAAAAAACCTCAATGATGTTATTGTCTAAACCAACCAATAATGCTTATTATTGGTTGTTGTTGTTAAGTGTCATCAAGTCAATTGCAACTCATAGTGAACCTGCATAGGGTTTCCAAGGAGCAGCTGGGGGGTTTGAACTGCCAACCTTGTGGTTCGCAGTCCAGTGCTGATTGTACAGCACCACACCAGGATTCCTATTATTGGTAGGTTCAGTTATTCCTTCGCTATACATAATCAGTCATGGATGACTATTTTTTTAAATTCTCGTATTAGAAAAGATGTTTGAGAGACCATTCAAAAAGCCTATCAAGACTATACTCTAAAATATAACTTTTAGTTTAAAGAAAACCTGGAAAACAGCTTATAAAAACATTACTTGAATGTATATTCAGGTCAGTCTTAAAAACCTGTAAAAATAATTACAAATTATTATTTTTAAAATTAATTTCTGTAGTCTAAATAGGTATTTTATTTGGGACAGTTATCCATTCATAATTTATAAACAAAAAAAGCAAATCTTGTTTTCCTTATAAGGATGGATTTTGTCTATAAATAATAGGAAAAATGTATTTAATCCTTGTTTTCTAACACGGAAGTTAAAACTCATTGTTCTTGTCAAATCCTGCCTTTATATGCTCATTAAAAAATTCCATTTTACTTTAGTGAAGCATATAATAAAGACCATATATCAGAAGTCTTCTAAATGAGAAGGAAAATGTTCATGCTGGTGAACTACTTAGCAAATATTTCTTCATAATTTGTGAAAAGCATGTACAGCAGCAGCCTTTTAATATAAATTTTTAAATAAGTTGCTTTTTTTTTTTTGCCTCAGAATTCATAGTTTGAAGAATGATACCTCTTGGACAGTATAGGCTATACCTGGATTTTGGTTCATTTGCTTAATACCATGCCCTCAGAAATTTAGGTTTTTGTCTTTGTATCTTTCAGTCCCCTTATAAGATGCTTGGCTATGCTACTGTTTTGGGGGGCGTATTTAGCCACTGACAAGTAACATTTGTCTTAAGGTATTTTAAAATGACTTGTGCCTTATCTTTACATACAAATTTAGCTATTATATTTCAAAACCAAAGCAAAAACGCTACATGTTATTATTTTTTAAAATCCAGAAGGTCAGTAGCAAGTATTATTAGTAGTTTAGGCCATTAAGTATTTTGAGGAGTCATGGTATGGCACTGTAGGATAAGCACTGGACAGCAAGATTGGTTTGAGCTGCAAGGTCAGCGATTTAAACTTACCAGCTGCTCCTCGGAAACCCTATGCAGAGTCATTATGAGTCGGAACTGACTTTACAGCACTTAACCAACCACCAAGTCTGCTGTTAAGCTAGCCTTCCCAGTATTATGTTGTTGTTGTGTGCCGTGGAGTCACTTCCGACTCTCAGGGATTCTGCATAGGGTTTCCGACTCATAGTGACCCTGTACAGGGTTTCCGAGGCTGTAAATCTTTACAGGAGCAGAAAGCCTCATCTTTCTCCCACGAAACAGCTGTTAGTTTCAAACTGTTGACCTTGAGGTTAGCAGCCCAATTCGTAACTACTATGCTACCAGAACTCATCAAGTAAACTTATGGTGAATTCTGAAATAAAAGTGTTATAGCATTTTCTACTATGTTACATATTTCTATTGCAACTAAACCAAATATTTGTAAGTTCCCAGGCTCTTCTGTTGAAAAAAAAAAAAAAAATTGTTTTTTCCAAAGAAGCAACACCTGTTATACACCAGGATTGTATACATGAATAAGATTGTTGGCTATGGTACATAGTCTTTTCTCTCGCTCCTAAAACTGAATTATAATTATCTCTTAATTCTCTTCTAGAGTTTATTCCTTTGCCCTTAGATATTGCACCCGTGACATTTCAGGGAGTAGTGTGTGAATTTAGGCGCTATCACTCTGTTAAGGTTACTAGGTTTTATATTTTGAAGGCTACCTACTTTAGCATATTTTAGAAAGGCACCAAAATATAGCATGATGATTTTTCTGATTAAAAATCAATAACCCATTGTGTTGGCGTTGTTGTGAAGTGCCGTCCAGTCAGTTCCAACCCATAGCAACCCTGTATAGGGTTTCCGAGGAGCAGCTGATGAGCTTGAACCACTGCCCTTGCAGTTCAAACAACTTTGCAGTCTGGCACATTAACCCCCAGCACCACACCAAGCCTCCCAATAACTCATTTACTTGGGAATATTTATCAAATATTTATACCAGTCATATGCGAGGTACTATGGTGACTAAGAATGTGGGGAAATAAAAGAATTGTGATGGTCCCATTCTGAAGGAATCCATTAAAAAGAACTGCTGATCTCTGGTACAGTAATAATAATCATAACAATAATAAAGCAATAATTTGCTTAGAAGTAATGAGTCCAGGATTCTGGATACTGAAAACCAGTAAACGTTTTTAAATAGCTGCTTAATCTAAAGCATGCTCTAAATACAAAACCATAGTATCATTTTTAATTTCAGTGACTTTATTATTATGCTACATATAATAATGCTGCTACCTAAGATACCCACTTCTAAAGGGCAGACTCAGAGACTCTTTTTAGAAAATGAGTGTCCTTATTTATCTGATTATCACCATTCGGCTCTGTCTTTGAACTAGCTAGTGCAGCGTTCTCTGTTATGGAATGATGTTCCTTTCCAATACTTAGGACGACTTTACTTAGCAATAACAGAGTGTGCAAGCATGCTGATGGAAATCAAATTGTTACTGTTTTTATCTTGATAAGAGCAGTCTCTAGAAATAGCCCCCCACCCATACCTCTTTTTAAATTAAAACGATGTGGTAGTGTGTTGTTAGGATTCTGTACATATATTCTAATAATAGGACCCAGGAATGCTGATGAATTTGTTGTTTCTTAAATCAAGGCCAAGAAGTAGATGCCTGATCAAGAGGAGAAAACTGAATATTCTCATAATCAGTAGACCTTCCCTCTCTTCTAGAAACTTTTCAGGAAAAGATAGATTATTTTCAGGAATCAATTTTCTAATGTAAACTCCTTTTCATGTAGCATAAAAGACTAATTCTGAATAGATAGCTGTAAATCAGCATATAAACTTAAGAATGTAAAATGAATTCCCAAATCGAATCTCCCCAAAGCACTTCTTAACATAGGAAATAGATGTCAATACTGCCATTTTTCCCATGTCAAATCCAGTAAAGTTGTTAGTGTATGTTTTGAGCAAACCAATTGTTAACGTTTTGATTTGGTTAGGAAGTAAAGAATTAGTCACATTTAGACAGAAGTGTATTTTATTTAGAAAATAACAGGATTTTGTGCAATATTTTTTTCTTATATAATCTAGTTAATATAAATATGCAATCTTTTTCTGGCAGATGCCTTAAGGTCACATTTTTCAGTATTTGTTTAAAAGGACTAAAAACTGTGTTACTGCTTTCTGTTAGACATGGAAAGAGATC